TATATATATATATATATATATATTATATATTTATATATATATATATATATATATATATATATATATATATATATATATATATATATATATATATATATATATATATATATATATATATATATATATATATATATTATATATATATATATATATATATATATATATATATATATATATATATATATATATATATATATATATATATATATATATATATATATATATATATATATATATATATATATATATATATGGTGTATATATATATATATATATATATATATATATATATATATATATATATATATATATATATATATATATATATATATATATATATATATATATATATATATATATATATATATATATATATATATATATATATATATATATATATATATATATATATATATATATATATATATATATATATATATATATATATATATATATATATATATATATAAACCAAATTTATCATGTTTCTATCTTATTTTTATAGTTATATAAAGTCAGATTACAGTAAGTCAAATTAATGTATATGTGGCATACAGATTAATGTAGTTTATGTATAAATGACTTTTATTCAGTTATGATATCTAAGGAAAGCAGTTTTAGTTTTTTAATGCATTGTGTTGTGCTGTTTTTTGTGTTTATTAGTGAGAATATTTTGTTTGATTAATTGTTGATTAATTGTGTAATCCAGCACAGAGCGCATAGGTCCAAACGCTTACACATTGCTTAAAACACAAAGAATGTACAGGAATACACAAATATCTTTACAGATGAAAACAATTAAATGATTAAAATGTTTCAAAAATCATTATTTTCAACATAACAAAAAAACACTACGACCTCCTCCTTAACATCGAGAGGTTTGGAATCCAGCTCTTTTGTAGTCTGTTTATTCATGACAGTTTACATTTGTATAATATTATTTTTAGTAGAAGCATTTATCAGTAATAATTATGCATATTTATATTTGTTTTTATAAAAACAAGTTTAGATTTGTCCAGATGTCGGTTTTGGAGAGTATATGCCATATGTGGTCATAGAAATGGGATGTGTGTTTGGACATACCTTTTGAATATAATTATTATTGTTCATTTATTCCTTAGCTGGAAATTAGAACTGAATTTAAAACTAGTTTTGGCACAAATCTTTGCGCTTAACAAAGAAAATTAAATATGTAGGCTAATGGATGTCTTCAGTGGAGTGAGTACAACACCTATTCCGTGCTCCACCAAAGTAAAGGAGTAAAGAGCTGAATGTATGAGGCTGGTTCTTTATCCTCGCGCTGTAGATGCTCTGTTTAACTGTTTTCCTGCTAGTGAAGTGTTCAGTTTTTACACTTACAAAGTCGCCATGTACCTAGTAAATGCACCATGGTGTGACACAGCTGGCTCTTGAAGGGAATGTGAGATGAGACTCTGATTGGTTTAATGCAGGTTAAGCGCAATGCGCTTTAGACTTTGAGCCTAGATCATAAAAATAGAGCCCTGAAAAAGACAGATGCTCTGGTCTGAAAATATCAGCAAATCATGCCATACAGTCCTTGCTCCTTATTGCGGCCGGGAGTATTGTGCCCAGAGCATCAAAAATTGACATAGCAAAGATTGAGCATACAATTTATAACCATAAATGAAAAGAAGAAAAACTTGGGAATACCAAATTACAGAAACTGTTAATTACTGAGTATTTTTACAGTGTGTGTTTTGAAATTAAGTTTGAAATTAAGTATAAGTGGCATTCAGAGCACATCAGCTAGGTGATTTGGTGTGAATTTTGTGCTTAATTCAAACAGCAATATTGCACTATAAAGGGTCATGGGGTTTATTAAGAGGAGTATGCTAATGCACATAATCGTGATTAATTCTTGTGTGTCTTTGACAGATTGGCCTTGGTCTTCTTGACCTTGGTTCTGGTTTCAGCTTCACATGGTAAGAGGGACTAATGTGTCCAATCATTTACCAAGCAATTTTTCCCAAAGTACATTTAGTCTGCTTAAATGAAAATGTCATCAGAAGTCATTTTGTTAAACTATATACAGTTTATAGTATATATAGTATACACACACACACACACACACACACACACAGTTGAAGTCAGAATTATTAGTCTCCCTGAATTATTAGCTCCCCTGTTTATTTTTTCCCCAATTTCAGTTTAACGGAGAGCAGATTTTTTTCCAGCACATTTCTAAACATAATAGTTTTAATAACTCATCTCTAATAACTGATTTATTTTATCTTTGTCATGATGACAGTAAATAATATTTGACTAGAAATTCTTCAAGACACTTCTCAGCGTAAAGTGACATTTAAAGGCTTAACTAGGGTAATTAGGTTAACTAGGCAGGTTAGGGTAATTAGGCAAGTTATTGTTTAACAGTGGTCTGTTCTGTAGACTATCCGGAAAAAAATACAGCTTAAAGGGGCTAATAATATTGTCCTTGAAATGGCTTTTAAAAAAATTAAAAACTGCTTTTATTCTAGCCGAAATAAAACTTATATATATATATATATATATATATATATATATATATATATATATATATATATATATATATATATATATATATATATATATATATATATATATATATATATATATATATATATATATATATATATATATA